TATACAAACAGTTATAACTAAAATATGGCTCACCTTATGATCACCAAGTTTAGTAGATTTCAGTACACCTTTAATAATATTGTCAACCAGTTGATGTGCTTGTTTGTTAGAAAAGAAATCATTATCCACATGTACAGATTCATACATACTTATTCACCCAACATCCAAATCGAACTATTGCATTTCAATAAGACATGGATACGGTATTTCATCGAGAAACTCAGAGTTCATGTGACTATTTCCTAGACTGTTTGTGAGGTATATGTTAATTGTGACATTCTGTGATCAAGTTTGTGTTAACTGTAATCAGTTGTAGTCAAGTCTATCTTCATTGTGAGTGTTCATAACCAATCTATCTTAACTGTGACTATATATAACCGAATCGCTGTTAATAGTGACGTGTAACTAGACGTCCTATTGTTAGTGAATCTTTTGTGACAACAATGTCTACATTTAAAGTTCGTGACCATTTATAAGTTATCTGTGATTCTCTGTGATCAAATTTGTGTTAACTGTGACCTATTATAACCATACCTATTTTCATTGTGACCGTTTGTAACCAAGTTTGCATAATTATAATTGTATGTGATCAAATCTGTGTTAACAATTACACATGCTAACAGTGAATATTTGTGATGAAACCTATTTACATTTAAAATTTGCGAGCATTTATATGTTAATTGTGACCTTCTATGACCAAGTCTGTATTAACCGTGACCATTAATTTATTGAAAGTGACCTGTTATCTGATTATGATATATTATCACAGCCAAAAGTAAATCGCCACCCTATTACAACACTGTAAAATCTGGACCTCGCCCTATCCATCATCGTCGGCACCAACCATATCATCACTACCACCTCAATCCACCACCACATTTACTTCAAATCCACCACCATTTCCAAATGGGAGCAGATGTTATTTACACTATCAACGAGAGGTAAAAATGAAATTAGACTAGATATAATAAGATAGTGAAAATAACGTACTTTTCAACGAAAAACAAGGGAATACCATTCACCTAATATATCAAAATACTGTCTACCTGATATGATTTTTTTTAATTTTATTCTAGATTCCATATGCGATCCAATTTAACATACCGAACACACCCATAATATACTTGAAGTATCGAAAAATTAATAACCAAATCCCATATTAGATATCTCTAAGCACAATAGCAACTTAACGATGTTTCATAGTTCGTGTCAATTCCTCTCCAAGTGTGGACGTGCACAATGAACATCACAAACACTACGTTAAAATTTACTTTAAGATTTAACCATAAAGAAAGAGTGCCAAATTTGTTAATAATTATACCAGGCACGCCCAATCGGAAATTATTACAACATTTAGGTCACAAGAAGCTAGAAGCACATTTATCAAGGGAGAGAACAAAAACATATGGTATTAAGAAGATATGTGAGGCCAAGCCCCCTCCGGGCATAGTCTAATGGTGCAAAGGATAGGAGTGAGGTTATCTCGCGATTTGCTGGCAGCCGCAATGTGGGGGTTCGATTCCTGAAACATGGAATTGGACTCCTTGTAGGCACAATGTATAGGCAACTCTTGTTCCCTGGCCTGTTGGGGCACATCCCTCACAAAGCTCTAGAGGCGGGGCGGTAGGGACCCTCAAAGTTGGGGTTCAACTTTTTTTTTTTAAGATATGTGAGACCAATTTCAATCATTAATTTCCCTAATTTATAGGGGGATGCCAAAATAAAATCCACAATTTCATTACCTTCCTGTTAATACATTGACTGTAATATTAACCTCAAAGGAAAATTGAGGTTACACAATTGTGATGGGAATTGAGGATTGGTGGTTCATTAGAAGGGGATTGGATGGGTTCCAATAAACTTGATTACTTGACTCAATTTGAAGGAACTACTAGATTGGGGAATTTGTTCAAGAGATCTGTCAATTAGGGAATTTGTGTATATAGAAAAAAAAAATTATTATTATTATTATTATTATTATTATTATTATTATTATTATTATTATTTATCACCTGATTTTTAAAGTCTTTTTATAAGTTTGTTAATTATGAATTTATAAAGTTAAAGTATTGTAATTGTGTATTGGGAAAATTTCACATACAAGAGATTAAGTATAGGGCATTTCAAAAATAAGAAAATAAGTATCATATTTCAAAAATCAGAAATTAGCCTAAAAATAAAAACAAATATTAATATAATTTGATATGGAAAACAATCCCGAGCAAAGAGCCGTAATATCAGGATTCTCCTAAAAAAGATTAATTCATCTTTCAATCTAATTTCAATAGCCAGAAGATCTGAAAATACATCCAATTACGACCGGCTCTTGCGGAAGTGACGGTGAAACCGAATTCTGGTCACAAATTGCAGTCGCGGGTCGTATGAGATTGGCTCGAACAGTCACTGAAAACATTATTCAGGCGTGTAATTAAATTGATCAGGTGTCTAATTTTGATTTATTCATTATAATTTGTCGTTTTTTCACGCTAGACAAGCTTCGATTGATCAGAAATATGATTTTTGACAGAACTCTAATCATGAATGACGGACATTGCTGTTCAAAACTGTTGTGACCGTTATGGAAAACATGTGACCCTGGATACAAGATATAACCTCATGCATTCAGTATGTATGGGTGTTTGTGTCTCGAAATGTGTGAAGTGTTTGAATCTGTGTATTATGATACTGATGCTCTTGTTCGAATCTAATCATATGCGACAGACCTATACTTAGTTACTGTGACCGATTATTGCATGCAATTGTAACACATTGAATACATGTGACCTGCATGTATTCAATGTGTGACCATGACATTCAAGATACCACATACATTTGCTTTGACCTGTGATCATTTAACAGAATTGTGACCGACATGCAATTAACTGTGACCAATATACAAAGACTTAAATGTCACATGTGACCTATGCAATGATCTGTGACCTCTCGTAAAAAAAATCTGGGAAATAAAACTATGTGACCTGCATGTTTTCAATACGTGACAATGATACTTGAGATTCGATATATGTTTGTTGTGACATTTGACCATTAATTTAATTTTGACCCATTTGCAATTAGATTTAACATATATTTGGATGTTAGGCTGATCGTGTATTTGCTAATTTTGCAGAAAATGGGGTTAATTCACGTGTGTCTGTTGAATGGATCACAAGTGTCACTGGTTTTAATTGATCGTAGTTGCGGGTATTTGAGGCTTGTCGACACAGTTATGAAAGAGTTTAGCTTTGACCCTGCAAAAGTTGCTGTGACAATGAAGTATGTCTTGAACAGTGATCTGCCTCCAGTAGCAATCAAAAGTGATGAGAATGTCTTGTCTTACATGGTTTTAAAGGATATGAGTCGTGACCCTGCGAAATATCCAATTCACATCGAGGTGACAACTGCGGATATCGAAAAACAGCCTATTGCGCTATCAGTTGATGTTCAATCGAACGAACATGTGTTTTCATTAACAGATATGTCATCGGACATATGTGGAGTAATAATGGATCCATCTAGTGACAATCTTGAGCATGAGGTCACAGTTGTGGCGGTGGCAGATGCTAGGGAGGTAGAGGAAGGAAGAGTCTTCCGTAACAAGGAGATAATGAAATTGAGCTTGTCGTTTTATGCAATCCAAAACATGTTTGAGTACGTGGTTGTTCGGTCCGATAAGAAAGACTATCTTGTAAAATGTTCACGTGATGAGTGTAATTGGATATGTAGAGCATCGAAGCTAGCCAAAACAGATATGTTTAAAATCAGACACATTGCAGAAGGTCACATATGTGCTTCAAACATCGTACTCAGTACTCATAGGTAAGTAACAAAGATGGTTGTGTCAACTTGCATTAAGTATAAGTACACATCATCGCGCACAATATACACACCGAATGATATACGCAACGACATGCTGCATACATACGGAGTATCTCTGAATTATGTCCAAGCTTGTCGATCTCGAGAGGAAACTCTGAAAGTGCTTAGGGGTGATCCAACTGATTCATTCAATAAGATACCAGCCTTTTTTTCTGTGCTACAACAAATAAATCCTGGATCAGTCACATGTCTAGAAATTGATGGTCACAATAGGTTTAAATATTACTTCATGGCACTAGGTGCATCTATACGGGGATGGAAACATTGTAGGCCAGTTGTTGTGGTTGATGATACCTATCTAAATGGACACTATGGTGGCACCTTATTCATGGCATGTACACAAGATGCAAATAACAGCATTTATGTACTTGCTTTCGGGATTGGGGATAACGAGAATGACAGCTCCTGGACATAATTTTTTAGACAGTTGAGAAAAGCATATGGGGATAGAGACAGTTTGTGCTTCATGTCGGATCGTCACAACAGCATCAAAAAGGTGATTGAAAACGTGTATTCGGGAGCGTGTCACGGGATATGTTCTTACCATCTACTACAAAATCTAAAATCACGGTACGGGAGATCAGGACAAAACATAACACAAGCATTCAATGTAGCTGTTCGTGCCTATACACTATTGGAATATGAATATTACATGCAACAACTCGGCTCGATTAATCAGAAGATAAGGGGTTATCTGGTACTATACTATATGTTGTCCTATGATGATATTCACATAAATACGTTTAACATGGTACTGTACGCTATATGATACACATTTCCATGGTTTTGTTTGTAGGACGAAGTTGGACCTGAGAGATGGTCACGTTTCCACATGCCTTCAAACCGGTATTCTACAATGACATCGAATATTGTGGAGTCGGTTAATACGGTCACAAAGTCTGCCAAGAACTACCATATTCTAGCTTTGTTGGAGTCATTGAGACAAATTCTACAATCTTAGTTCTGTAGACACAAGGAGGATGCCCAAGGCACTTTTACAACCTTGTCAATCAAGTATGAGAAGAAAAATGAGGGAAATGAGTACAGATATGAGAAACCTGAGGGTAAGCTTGATTACTGTGACCTAATCTATAATCTGTGACTTACCGGATCTGATCTGTGACATGTGCTGTGACTTCTGCTGTGATCTGTACCGTTGTGTTTCAGTAATATTTGTGCAATATTATATAGAACTACATGACATGCAATTTCATCTGTGTCCTACTTTTTAATTACGTGACTTGTTATGCCTATAACTTGAGTCTATATCTGTAGGTTTCACCTATGAATCAGGCAATGTTCTCAGTTAGCGGTGAAAGTTCCTCCTTCGTTGTTGATATAGAAAACCGGACATGCACATGTAGGATGCTTCAAGTTGATCAACTACCTTGTCCACATGCTTTGGCTGTGTTTGCGAGTATGAAGATGGATCCATATGAATACTGCTCCTACTACTACACAAGTGAAGCGTTCAGAAATACATACCAAGAAACCATTTTTCCGGTAGGAAATCCAGCTGAATGGACAGTGCCAAATGATGTCCATGACATAGTTGTAATTGCACCTAATCAAAAGCGAAGTTGTGGAAGGCCTACTGAGAAGAGATTCAGAGCAGCGTACGAGGAAAACATAACCGTCAAATGTGGTCGGTGTGGTGAAAGTGGTCACAATCGTAGAACATGCAGCAGCTTAGTTCTGTTGAGTCAAAGCAACAAGAATAAAGAGAGAAAGAGGATGAAGACTGGAAATGTACATTGATATATTTTTTATAATTCCATTTCTTTTTTCATTCATTGATTTTTTGTAAACATAGGATGCAAAACATTGGATGACACAAATTAATGATCTGTGATCATTCTACAATAACATGTGACTAGTATGCATTAACTATGATCATTATTAATGACCTGTGACCAGAATGCAGTGACTTGTGACCAATATAAATGATCTGTGACCAGAATTCAGTGACCTGTGACCCCTGTGCAATCAACTGTGAATATATGAAATCATCTGTGACTAGATGTCAATGAGCTGTGACCAATATGCAGAGATCTGTGACCATTTATCAAGACACATGAGTAGGATGAAGTGACATACGATAAATATCCAATGACATGTGACAAATATACGATAAACTGTGACCAACAAAAGATGACCAGTGACATATTGCAAAGACTCTGCAAAATGGAAGTGGTTCAGCTGTGACAAAAGTATGAAATGATCTGTAACAAATATTCAATGACCTGTGACCAGATTGAATTGACTTTTAATAATTCTTCATGACCTGTGAACAATATACTATGACCTGTGACCAGGGTGCAGTGACCTGTGACAATAGGAATTGACCTGTGACCTTTGGAACTGCAGATAATCCTAGAAACTGGTGACATGTGATAATCCTAAAAACTGCAGGTAACCTGTGACCTGTGACCAGGATGCAGTGACCTGTGACAATGGGAATTGACCTGTGACCAAATTATACAAACCAGTGCCCTTGGAACTGCAGATAATCCTAGAAACTAGTGACCTGTGATAATCCTAAAAACTGCAGGTAACCTGTGACCTGTGACCAGGGTGCAGTGACCTGTGACAATGGGAATTGACCTGTGACCAAATTACACAAACCAGTGACCTTTGGAACTGCAGATAATCCTAGAAACTGGTGACTTGTGATAATCCGAATAACTGCAGGTAACCATTAAATTTTAAGACTTTGTCCTCGATACGGTGTCAATATAGCAAAATATGATATATAGTGAAACTTGTAGTAAAGTCCCCAAACATTAATGAACTTTTTGATATAAACAGACAAAAGTAATAACTGCGTTGTCATTACAAACGAATTTCCAAAACACGAGACAATGTTTCCTTCTATTACAACATGTTACTTCTAATTGCACTATCACTCTAAAACAATGCTTTTCCCACCAGTACGCTACACCGGCTTTCTAGTCTTCCCGATTTCACGATGTTTGAACAATAGTGAAGCTATATCCAACCGAGCTCTCCCCACATCAAACTTCATTGGCATGGATCCTATATCGTCATGTAGTATGTACTCCGCATACTTGACCACGTAAATGCCACAATCATGTCTAGGAACACAAAAAACAGAATATTAGCTATGAAATCCAGCAACTTATAATATGTTTAACTGTTAGTGGAGGGAAAAAAACTTGCCCATTTTTCTGTTGGGGAAGAGAGAAATCAAAATCCACATTCAACTCCATGGAATCTTTTTTCCATATTCCAACAGATTTCATAAGATGCGGAAGCATGCTAACAAAGGGTTCAATTCCAATACGGACTTTGATATCATTGTATGTCTTCCTGGACGAATTCAATAAACGCAACGTATGTGCCTTTATGTCTAACACTCCAAGCATCCAATGTGCTTTGTTGGTAGGCAAAAGTGGGATAAACACAAGGTCAACATCAGCCCATGGAGTGCTTAATGGAATTCGTGCACCGGTAATATCGTCAATCAGTCTATCATCCGTGACAAGAACATTTGCATCATCCTTGAAACTAGGATACAAGTGCTTTAGCTTGGCCTGGAACAACGAGTCCGTTGTGGTAGCTACAAACTTGAAATCTCTCACACTTCTTGCCAGTTGACGTATATAATAGAAGCACACGTCCATATGCTATAGAGATGAAAGTACAATAAACAATTTAGAAACCATGTATACACCAGAAAGCACGATGCAATAAGCTGTTAAGTTGATGTGTGACTCGACTAGAATGTGTGGTCACTACAATCTGTAGTTAGTGACCACTCCATAACTAAACCAGACGTAATAAAGACATGTGTGCCATACTGATGCACCTGCAGATATGTGTTCTCTTGTGCAGCGCGGATTGTGACCTACTGTTCGTGTGATTTGTGACCCAGGCATCAGCTGTGACCTACTGTTCGCGTGATCTGTGACCTACTGCTCGTGTGATCTGTGACCCATGCTCTATGTGACTAGTATACAAAAAATTGTGACTAATGTGACCTGTACTGTAACATACCCTTTAGAACTGTTACTTTTGTGTAGTGACTTACTGAACTAGTCAATGACACCTCCCTGGATACAAGTTCGTACCACCATGTCTTGTTTTCCACCAAGTACTGACCGATGGAAAAAGGTGGACGGATGACATCATCTTTATCATTGAACTTCTTCCTGCAAACGAGAAGAACGGATCATTATTTGGAACATTATGAATATAGGACAACAATTTCGTACTTGTTATGCGGTTTGTATCCTCTTTGAAACCAATTTTGAAAGTCAGCAACATCTGCATCTTGTACATTCTGATTGTAGTGTTCAAAGACCACTACATTTCCTAAAGATTTCATTTATTTCATTTTGTCGGCAACATTAGGGGACTGAAGGGCTTTAGCTGGCTTTGGAGCCCTCTTCACCGGCAATCCAGAACTTGGTGCAGCCTCAGGTGAGTGCTGCGTAATAAAATGTGTTCTTTAATATGTGACATGCATTAATCAACAAAAATACATAGATTTTTTGATACCTCTTGCTGAAAACATTCCGTGTCCTTCAAAACATCGGCTATGACCTATTCAACTTGCCTGTCAACTTCCTTTGATGTTTTTGCAACAATCTGGCTTGGTTGTGTGAATCCAAGACCGAGATCAAAAGATGGAGGTTCAATAGAACATGGGAATTCAACTGCACACACAGAGTCAACCTTCGCCTTGCCTTTCGAATCAACACTTCGTTCGACTTTTGCAGCCTGAAAATCAGAACAAAAATGCATTTGATAAGAAGTGTATATCAAACGGTTTGTGGTAAACAGACAAATAAGAGGCAGTCACAGTTGGGGTACTGACTTCGCATGTTGGTCAAGATCCTACAACAATTTCTGGTCCTGCGTTCTCTCTGAATTTTTTCATAATTTCTTCCATTGAAGTAGATATCAATGTAGTCACAGAATTGGACATACACTGCATGTGTGCTTTGATGTCCAACATGTCAGTACGAATTTCACCTTGCATACGAACTAGCAGATTCAGTTTCCTTTGCTGATCAGACTTTAAAGAAGACACCTGTGACTGCATTGACTTGAGCTATTTGCTTAGCAACCGATTCTCAGACTTTAGATCAGATATCTGCCCTTTGAAATAATTCTTCAATTCGTCGACCACCTGCATCACATGAATACCTATAATCAGTAAAATTATGATGATGAAATATGACATTGATCTGTGATCAGCAGTGACATGTGTATTGGTATGTGACCCAATCACCGAAACCTGTGACCTGAATATGTGACCTGAATGTTTATGTGACCAAATGGACTTGTGACATGATAGATGAAATTGGAAGAACTTACATCTTTTGACGGCATATCCTCTGAATCAGTGGTGTCATCTGACTTAAACTCCCCAGTTGGAGAATCTTCATGGATTGATGTCCCCTTCCAACTGGGTGGTGCGTCAACAAAGTCATCATCATCAATGGGGAGATCAAAGTGTCCCAATCGTCCATCAGTTATCAAAAGCATGGGAGTAGATTGTTTCATTCTTGGATTACTTAGTTTTGTACTAGTCCCAGCACGATGATCTAATCGGTGTATGCTACCACCCTTTCTCTTCTCCCCATGTGATCGATTGGGTAGGATAGGTTTCTCATACTGCACCTGACTCATGTATGGCATTGCCAATTCAGCTGGTGGGGGGTCCAGGTCACATATTTTCAACTGCCATTCATATCACAACAAAAAGTGCAATGTCAACAACATAAAATTATGTATGAACAAACAGATATAATTTTGCACATCACACATATTCAATTTGTTTGCATTAATTGTGATATAACAAGGGCAAATGGCGCCGTGAAAATGTCTATGACCTAGTATGAAATGATCTGTGACATAATGAGTAAATCTGTGACTTCGAGAATGCAATTTGTGACTTGACGAAAATATATTTGTGACCTAAGAAATATGATCTGGAACATGAGAAAAATGTGCCAGTTTAATATTTTGAAACCAGAACTGCTGCATCGGTGGTCATTTACGTCGGGATTGGAGAAGCATTCAGGTCCCTCAAGCTTCGCAGCCGAAGGGTGATCATCAGCCGTCCAATTCATTATCCTGGGGCACACTCTGGAAATCCTTCTCGCAGTGTATCCATCGAGACTGGGTATTGTCTTGTAAATCCACACTTGAAAGGCTACAAGCAAGCCTCTGAGTCTGTAATGTGTTGATCTCTTACTCAACCCCTCCCTCAATGAATTTATTAGTTTGTCAAACAGCGACTTACCCCATGGAAACACATTCATCGCACTAAAATCTTCAACCAGTATAAATAAGAAGTGCTCCACAGCCTTCTTGTAGTCTCTCGGATGTAGATAAGAAGTTATGAAATACAATGCACCTAGCATGGCAACATCCTCATCCGGAATGTCAGTAGAACCAAAAAATGCGTCCTTGATATTTTCATGAGTAACATTTTTCAACGTTGAAAAATACAAATTTTTCAATCGTGATGGAGTCTTCTCCATCCTACTTGTGTCATCATCGCCGACGTATCTCAAACCAGTCACCAAACAAAATTCTGAAATTGAGAACCGCACAAATCTTCCAGCTATGTTTAACCACAACTCACTCTCATTAGGTTGTTGCACTTGTCTCAGAAGAAAATAGTATATCAGCTGCGATTGGATAACAATTTCCTCGCATTGCAGGAAGTGAGCGAAACACGTATTCTGAAGGATTCGACGTTGGGTTTCATTGAGATTGTTTTT